ACCATGAGATGCAATGAGGAGCGGAGTGGCGCCACCCGCAGGCCCCCAGCAACACGCCCGCAGCTGTGAGCCTCGGGTCCCCTCTGGCCGCACCGCCTCGCCAGCCGGCAGGGGCCATGTGCCCATGCTGGCCCCCACCACCGCCCTGGAGCGCTGTTCCGAGTTCATAGGTTTGGTCCCCAGAGCAGTCTTGTGACATGAAGAACTCCCCTCACTTCAAGATACCCAGGGCAAGGAGAGACGAGGGAGGAGAGGATGGGACCAGGACGGCCCCGCCTGGCTTCAGGCGACAGCAGCAAGGCACACGCAGCCTCCGTGTCCAAGTGTCCTGCGCAGGGACTCGTTTCCAGTGCCGGGAGTTTCCAGACTGAGTCCCGCTACTCCACCAGAGCTTCTGCCTCCCACAGGGACAACGCCAAGGTGGAGGCGGGGGTGGCCACGAGGCTGGGGGTCGCAGGTCCGGAGGAGCTGAGGGCTGAGGCGGTCCACCCGAGTCCTGAGTCCCGCCTCAGGGCGTGCTGGGCTCCTGTTGTCAACTCTACACTAGGCGCCCGCCACCTCCTCCAGCACGGGTCTGGGATGCAGCTGGGGCTGCCGTCGTTGTCACCATCACTGCCATCGTCACAGGAGTGACAGTGCCACTGGGTGTGCGTGGAGGGGGCTGTGTGGGACCGAGGGCGCCCACAATTCCCGTGTGGCCGGTTGCGCTGGGAAGACTCCTGGGGCAGGGTGGGGAGCCCACTTACTCCCCTGGGAAAGGGCTGGTCCCTGTGGGGACTTGGCACGTGTCCACCCTGGGAGAGGCGCCTGGGAGATAGGAGGCCGTGGGAGCGGAAGCCGAAGCCAGGCCTTCCTCTGAACCGGAACACACAGGCACGTCTGTCGCTGTGTCCTCGTCTCAGGCTCCCTTGTCCCGAGCTGCTGTCTGCAGTGGTCCTGTCCTGGGCCGGTTCCTTATTAAAAGGAGTCCCCTGCACCCTGACAACACTGAAGAGGTGGACAGAACACCCCACTCTGAGCAGGGGCAGGGTTAACGGGGCACAGGCTCCCTGGGACCGGCGAGGAGGCTGCGGCTCAGTCCATGCATGGTGCCCTGGGTTTGTCCCCTTTGTACCATAAAACAGAGTGGGAGGCATCCCAGGGCCACCAACACCGCTGGCAGAGTTTGCCGAATGTGAAAACCTTCCTTTCACACAGACTTGGCTCGGTTTAAGCTTCTCCTAGAATCTGCTCGTTAATTATGTGCACAACAGCGGGAGGCTGAACAAGTTCTTTCTCCCACCTGGGCATAAAGTCTCCCTATTGCCAAAGGGGCACAGGATCCCCTTTGGTGACGGGGCCAGGCAATTGTAAGAACTGATTTCCTGCCTAGGGTGGTAGCACAGGCCTATAATCTCAGCACTGTGAAGGCTGAGGCAGGAGGATCTCAAGCCTGAGCCCTGTCTGGATAACTCAACAAGACCTTGCTCAAAAAATGAAAAAAGAAAAGAAAAGAAAAGAAAAGAAAAGAAAAGAAAAGAAAAGAAAAAAAGAAAGAGGAAGGAAGGAAAGAAGGAAGGAAGGAAGGAA